TTGATGGTGCGCTTATAAAATAGTACGTTCAGCGCAGAGGTGAAGCAAGTGACGCAGTGATGTGGGCAGATTTTTTTTTTTTAGGCGTGCGGGGAGGGGGGGGGGGGGTCCGCTTATCTGAATAGGCCGGGCAAGCGAATATGGTCGTCAATTTGGGCTCCCTACGCCCGGCCTAAAAAATTCTGTGCGCAACCGCCTGGCTATGCCAGTGAAGTGATGCGACAATGATTTGTTCACTTACTGATTTACATACACTTTACATCTCTAAAAAATGCGGCCCAAGGCCCCAACACTCAGCCGTTAACATTACATAAAGCCAATGGTAGAAAAGTGCCAGTATGAATGCAGCTACAACCCCGCCCCAATGTTTTTTCAAGCGAGGTAGTGTTGCGGAAATGAACTTTTAACTGCAAAAGTACACTGGCACTGCAGTGGTGACAGGGGAAGCAAGAGGGTATGCAGGCGGTAATAGAGGTAATTTAGTCTGATACGGCTAGCAATGGATACGGTGAATAAGAGCAAATCATTTCTCTTTCAATAGCGCAACCACTCAACAATGTATTGTAAGAGCATTAAATGTTGCTGGAAATGCCACTCACCTGCACGCTGATACATGCACAGTCCTTTGTCCGACGAGCGAACAGGCTTGCGGATAGCTGAAGGCGTGTTTACGATGTGTTTGTTCCACCCAGCAGCAAAATCCACAACTACTTCGCGCTCCATAAAGATAAATATACACTAACCTTCATCACGAATAAGTAGAAACGCGAATCTGCGACACACACACACGATCAAAACATAGCTCACAAGCTCCCACGTCCATGTGCTCGCCGACCACAGACCATATGAAAATGAGTAAGTAGTGCGAACGCGAACCTAGTTGCGCCAAAAAAAAAAAAAACGTCGAGCAGTGGCAGCACAGGCGTCAGCGCAATAATTTCAGTGTGTTTTCCTAATACAATTATAAAAAAAAACTGAGGTACACTAAAACTCATAAATAAATATAAAAAGTTGAGTGTAATTTTTATTTAGTGCTAGTCAACATAAACACTGAATAAAAATTACTTTGTAACTTACATCGTTTGCTGCACTAGCGCCACACTTGTCGTGCGGGCGCAGATGGCGCAGATTTGTCATTCTGCCCTCAAACTACACGGTGAAGCGTGCTACTAAGTGTATGGCTGATGAGAAGCGCGTCTGGGTCCGCTTTTTTTTTTCTTCTCCGATATATCTGGGGGGGGGAGGGGGGGCTCCTTATGCACGTGTTTCGGTGCTTGATCGACTTTGACGCCCTTACTTCGCGGACGAACGGCGTGTCTAGGCTTTTTTTTATCGTTGTTTTGCACGTGTTTCGGCGTTCGGTCCGCTTTGACGTGCCAACTCTCCATTCTGCTGCTGCGTGTGTTAGGTATTTGCCGTACTGTATTCTTAGGCCTTCTGTGTTCAGCCAGCGCAGCTATCTTATTATCTACGGATGCTAAAATAAATCACTGTTTTGGTTTGGTGAAGTTTGGCACACAGAACAAACAATAATCTGGCCCATGAATATCAATGTGGGCGGCATGCATATTTGTGTGTGGTGTCCTGCCGGGGAGTAACCGTTGCGTGACGAGAGCATTTACAGCGGTTCCTCCTTCCGTTGCTCCCTTACAAACTTAAGATGAATACAGTTGCTCCCCCATTCTCGAACAAGTTGGCCATCTTGTTCCGCTTGGTCTTTTCGGAGAGTAACAGTCGGTCTGAAGGAGTAAAAACAGCCGTTGCTCCCATTTTGGCCATTTTTGGCTTAGAGTGTTTTTGGCTATAGCGCCGAAGGAATCGACGGTAATGCGACCCTCTTCTACACATTCGAGCGAGTGCAGCGTGCAAACGCAAGTCCGCCGCAGCGGCCAGCGGACAGCTCCGAGCCGCTTGCGACCGACTGACGGGAAAGCGAACTGTAATGGCAACCAATGTTAAGTGAGTTCCGACCCTAGCGAAAGCTCCGCCAGCCCGTGCTAGTGCAGTTACAGCGCGCGACATACTACAACCAAGCTCTTTACGAGAACCCGCAACGTGTTTTCGACGACTCCCAACACAGCGACTAGGTCTCAGCCTAATATCTTCAGACCGGAGCTCATCGCGGCGGCAAAGACAGGCGAGCACTCGATTAGCGAGCGTACGGGAGGCCGACGGCAATGACGGACAATTGCCAGGCGGTCGCAAAGCACAGGCGAACTGCGGACGCCGAAGCTGACCTTCGCGATGCATTTCGTGCGTGCGATATACAACACGATCGAGCCCGTTGCCGGCAAGCGCGATCCGTAACGCACACGCGACAAGTAGAATAGAATAAATTATTATAACCTCCTTGCGAAAGAATCCAGCGCTGTTTTCTGCCCTGAGTCGGACTGAAGTATATATCCGATCAGCCTGCTGCTTTCTGAGCCGCCATATTGGCACTCCCAACTGTTGCTGTCGTGGGTTGGTCGGGACTATCTTGAAGCCAGACATATACAGCGCGGCATGGTCACGTGTCGAGACTTGGTCCAGACTTCATGGGTGCAGCGAAACGCAAAAGCAGCAGCCCACACTCATTCAGGCGTACACACAAGCACCACGTCGTAATTCTTAGATCGTCGAATCCAGGCGGCCCTGGTCGAGCACTTTGAGCGAGACGCAACGCAACCACCGCCGGCAAAATACGGGGAAAGACTGAGCCAGCAGAGGAGGAGAAGAACATGTGTTCTGTGGAGGAGGAAGGCTGGTCACCTTGGCAATGCTTTTCGCGCTGCTTGAAATGCCTGGGCGGTTCAACCCAGTGGAGACTAAGTGGTCTCGCGCCACACGCTTCCCTCTGTGGTTGCTCCTCTATGGTCTTTCCGTTGATTCTATTTGGGCTCCGTTACTCCTTTTCCGGGTTATTTCGCCTTAGAGTGAACGAAGGCGGTGATTTCGGCTGAAATGATGTTTCTGCTGTCGGAGAAGACTAAACAACCTCCTTCGTCCCGTCGTTACGACGAAAGAAGATCTTTACAAGTTCACCATGGCTTCAACGCCAGAAGTCGCGATTCCTAGCTTCCCCTGTGAGGACTTCGTGACCAGCTCCTCAAAGAGGCGTAAACGACAAGGAAAAACTAGGTGAAGTAGACCGGTGAGGCGATAAGGATCTCGATTGGCGGTGCTGAATAGTCGAAAGGTTTCGCTGGCCTGACAGGTACGCTTCAATTTTATTGGGGTGCTCATCATAGCGTGGGCATCGAGCATAAGGGTGAAAGCCGTGGAGACCTAGTTAGCGGTACTGACAGTTCCGGTACACGTGACCCGCTTCACAGTAGTGATAGCGGAATGGACGGTTATGCGAGCTGCACCACGTCCTTGCCTTGCTAGCTCTTGGTCTTGAGGCAGACGGCAGATAGGAGGGTGCACTCAGAAACCTTGAGTCAAAAGGCGGACTTAAGCAGTGTCCTGGGAAGGGTGCATAACCTGATCTACTGTCCAGATAGTAGGACTGGTAGGCGACGGCGCAGGATGTTGCAATGCCACCGCATATATCAAAACTGTGGCCATGGATGTCGGTGGTGTGAATGGCGCCAGTGGTGCGACTTTCTGCATGATTTCCTGTCTGATTGCATCCGTAGAGAATGGAAAAGGTGGATGGGATCGCAGTGCCTGAAATTGTCGCTGTCCGCCCCGCACGATAGTTTGTGAGGGCGCGTCTCTTGCTGTCCAACCCGATAGTGTATGCGGTGGCCGGGATGTGGCTATCGTATTGTGACGAACGCTGCTGCAGTGTTCGCTCTATTGTGGTTGTCTCACTGGAGAACCCGGCGACTGTCATTGGTGAATTGCGAACGAGTCCAGCGAAATGCTGCTCTTTTACTCCATGCATCAAATGCCGCACCTTCTTTTCTTCCGACATGGCAGGGTCTGCCTGCCTGAAGAGCCTAAACATGTCCTCGACAAACATTGAAACTTATTTGTTCAGCCGCTGGTTCCTGCAGGATATGGCTTGTTCGGCTCTCTCTTTTTTTCTGCATTGCGGTAGGCGTCATGAAGCTGTCAGCTTAACTCTTTGCCATGTCGTAAAAAAAACCTTGTGATCTTCATGCCACGTCTTCACAGAGTCTTCCAGGTAGAAGTAAACTCGGCGCAGCTTGCAAAGATTGTCCCTTCCGTTGATACAGGCAACGCGGTCACTGTGGTCGAGCTAATCAACAACATCCATGTAATGGCTTGGTTGACTGTGGAGCATGAAAAACATGCGCGAGAGGAGAACCATGGGTATCGTTGTTTGAATCACCTGGTTTGTCATCGGAGTTGTCATGTTTCTGTGTGTCGTCGCCAAGGGAACAAATTCAGCGGTAACCGAGGTAGATGGCGACTGCTTTTTGCTCTGGTAGATGTAGCTGTTTTCAAGGTGCTAGGAGAGATGGCTGGCACAGCCAAGATACACGTACCTAGCACCTCCGGCAGTAATAACGCGAGCAAAACAGGACCAACAGCCGACAGCAAGAAGTTGAACGGAACTGGAGCAACCAAGTCTTTCACTTCTTTCTACTGAAAGCGTGAATGAGCCACAGCCGCTCGTTCTTCAATTGTGGCATGCATCAATATATATATATATATATATATATATATATATATATATATATATATATATATATATATATATATATATATATATATAATATATATATATATATATATATATATATATATATATATATATATATATATATATATATATATATATAGAACAAATGGAATGTAAATAAGAAGAAAGAAAAGTGGGTGACAAAATAACCAGTCATGAGCAGGAAACGGCTGGCTACGGCTGCTCACGGCTGGTTATTTTTTCACCCACTTTTCTTTCTTTTTATTTACATTCCATTTCTTCTAATAACTTCCCCTATACATTCCTTGGCATTATTGTCTGTTATATCTCATTAATATAGAGTGGGCCCGGCGAAACCGCTGTCCGCAGAGCTCTGAACATGCGTTCTTTATTGTGCTTTCAGGCACTACTGCTATCCGTCGTATCGGCGGCACCAGCTTCGGACACGCAACGACCAGCTACAGAGGCTATCACGACAGCGACTGACAGTGCAGATTACATCTACCGCCGCATAACACTGGATCCAGTCAGCGCCACAAAGGGAGCCTGGGGAGTGACGTCACCAGTGAAGCTGCTTATATACCCGACGCTGATGACCGAAAACTTCAGTGGGCCCGGCGAAACCGCAGTCGGCAGAGCTCTGAACATGCGTTCTTTATTGTGCTTTCAGGCACTACTGCTATCCGTCGTATCGGCGGCACCAGCTTCGGACACGCAACGACCAGCTACAGAGGCTATCACGACAGCGACTGACAGTGCAGATTACAGCTACCGCCGCATAACACTGGATCCAGTCAGCGCCACAAAAGGAGCCTGGGGAGTGACGTCACCAGTGAAGCTGCTTATATACCCGACGCTGATGACCGAAAACTTCAGTGGGCCCGGCGAAACCGCAGTCGGCAGAGCTCTTAACATGCGTTCTTTATTGTGCTTTCAGGTTAGTTATTACTGTTCATACAAGAGTGACGATCGATGCATTTTGATTGTGCCGTGCCCACATAGACTTCTGAGAATTTTATTGCAGTGTTTTCATGTCTGTAAACTTTTGCTCTGCGGGGACGTTGAAGAAAACCCTGGTCCTGATGTCGCTAAGATGCTTCAAACGCTTATAGACGGACAGAAGGCTATACGAAACGACTTGGCTGACGTCCTAAAAAGACTAGATGAAACTGATAAAAACATAGAGTCCCTGACGGACAGAATGTCGCAAGTGGAAAAAGAAATTAAGGAAGTAACAAAGAAGACTAATGCTATGGCTAGCTCCAATGTAAACCTAGGGGAAATTCAAGAAACTATGAGAGCGCACCAAAAAAAGTTGGTGGAACTGGAAGACCGGAGTAGAAGATCTAATCTTGTAGTGTTTGTAATTAAAGAAACCAAAGACGAAACACCCGAGACACTCAGGCACAAAGTTATTAAGGAAATAATTGAAGACAAGCTTGGGGTTTGCTGTTCGTCTGTCGCGCGAATACATAGACTAGGAAAGGCGTCATCAAACCGTCCAGTCATCTTGTACTTTCAAAATTACTTGGAAAAACAAGAAGTCTTACGTAAATCAGGGAAGTTGAAAGGAAGTCGTATATTCCTTCAAAACGACTTCTCTGTTGAAACGCGAAGGAAACGAAAGAACTTGTGGCAAAGTGCTAAAACAGATAAAGAGAACGGAAAGAAGGTTTCCTTAGTGAACGACAGGCTGCGTATTCATAATTCATTCTATGTCTGGAGCGATGCCTCAAACGGACGTGTTTTGTTAAAGCAAATGGCTGATGTACAGGATGACAGATAGCTATGCCAGGTGCCACAGCAACTGCGCATCCTCTCTCTGAATGCAAGAAGTATTGTAAATAAAATAGATGAACTAGAATTGCTGCTGCTTAGTTACAATGCACAACTTGTTGTAATCTCTGAAACGTGGCTTTCAGACAAAATAAGTAGTGACGAAATTGTACCACCAGGTTACAAGTTGTACAGACGAGATCGAGTTTCAAGAGGTGGTGGTGTTGCGGTTGTAGCGAAAGAAAATATAGCTGTTACTTTCATGGACCAGATTCCAAACCATGAAAGTTTATTTTTAAATGTAAAAATATTGGGTTTCACATTCCTGCTTTGCGCAGTTTATCGGCCACCTGATGCCGCTGATTCGTATCTTGAAGAATTGTATGATTTCCTGTTGCCGCATCGAAATCGTAATGTTATTATTACTGGTGATTTTAATCTGCCCGACATAGATTGGAAGCAATTTAGATCGGAAAAATATGCAACCTGCAATGTTGTATTAGATATACTTTTAGCAATGAACCTCGACCAAGTTGTACAGGAACCAACTCGAGAAAACGCAGTACTGGATCTTTTCTTTATTAGTCAAAAGTTTTCAAACGGAACACTTACCATAGAGCCCGGCATTTCAGACCATAGGCTACTGTTATTTTCCTGGAGTGCTCCACATGCTGCTAGTGCTAGAATTGCCTCATTAGCGTACATACGTGACTATGTACGTGCTGATGATGAAAGTATTATTGATTATATGGAAAGAAAATTAGTATACCATGACTTTGAAGATGTTCATTTTTTGTGGAAGAGGTTTAAGGAAGTTGTAAATCATTGTACGGAACACTTTGTACCCATGAAAAGAGTCAGAAAAGGTCGTCGCAACACTTGGATCAGCCGCGAGATCATTCAGATCAAACGAAAATTAAAAAGACTCTGTAAGCAGCATAAGACCGGAACACAAACATTTCGAGAGCTTAAACATTCCTTAACCGCTAAGATTGCCCTAGCAAAGGGAAAGTATTTCAAGACCACACTCCCAGAGTACATTAAGAACGATCCACAGAAGTTCTGGCGTTTTCTTTCCAACCGTAAAGATTGCATAAAAGAAGTTAAACTTGATGGAGAACTAGTGACGGATGAGGCGGTAATAGCCAAGTGCTTTAACGAATATTTTCAGAGCGTATTTATTAACGATAGCGACACTTCAGCGACATCTGTGTCCAATTCTTCTATCGGAGATGTTCCCGTGGTGTCGGTGGAGGGTGTTCTGAAAATGCTACGTAATCTAAAAATTAGAAAAAGTGCTGGACCAGATGGTCTTTCTAATGTATTTCTAAACCGTTATGCTGATCAAATAGCAGAATACATGACGAGAATATTCCAAGTGTCATTACAGTCTGGGGATGTACCAGAGGATTGGCACAATGCCAGAGTAGTGCCTATCCACAAAAAAGGTGACAAATGCATTGTAGGAAACTATCGACCAGTGTCTGTCACATGTACATCATGCAAGTTTCTTGAGCACATTGTAGCCGGTGAAATTCTTGATTTTTTAACAATGAATAACATTCTGTCTCAGCATCAGCACGGTTTTAGGCGAGGAATGTCGACTGTTACTCAGCTCGTAACTACAGTCCACGAATTCGCAGCAATACTAGACAGATCTGGACAGGTAGATGTGCTCCTACTAGATTTCTGTAAGGCGTTCGATAAAGTTTCACATGCGAAGTTGCTTCACAAACTAAGTGTTCTTGGGCTTCCTCAATACCTTGTTAATTGGATTACTGCATATCTGCGAAAAAGATCACAATTTGTAGACATAAATGGCTGTTTATCACCTACTTTGGCAGTTCTGTCTGGAGTATACCACAGGGCAGTGTGCTCGGTCCGTTGCTATTTATTATTTTCATAAACGATATAACAGAAATATTACCGGAATCAGTTAGCATAAGGTTATTTGCAGATGACTGCATTATATTCAAAGAAATAAATTCAATTAACGACCACGAAGTTCTCCAGGAATCACTGTTGAAAATAGATCAGTGGTGTGGGGACTCTAAAATGCAATTAAATGCTTCAAAGTCAGTGCTACTCCGCATCTCAAAAAAACAGCAACCAAGCGTATTCGAATACCGCCTAAATCAGTCAGTGATTCCGCAGGTTACGCAATACCGGTATTTAGGCGTCACACTAACCAACGATTTAACGTGGACGGCTCATATAACAGATATTAGCTCCTCGGCGTTTCGTAAACTATGCGTTCTTAGACGCAAAATTAAGGACACGCCTTCTAATATCAAGCTTTTGGCGTATTTAGCGTTAGTAAGGCCAAAACTGGAATACGCATGTGCGCTTTGGGACCCATATACAAAAAAAGACATTCACCAGCTCGAGAGAATTCAAAGGAAAGCAGTTCGCTTTATTTTTGGAAAGTATAGGAGACACGAGGCTATCTCAGAGCTAATGCAGAATAATCAGATTCCGCCCCTGGAAACACGTAGGAAGATAGCCCGTTTATTTTTCCTGCAGAGCATTCTGTGCAAAAGGATGAATATAACGCCACCGTCATTTCTAGGGCAGTTGACATCAAGAAGAACGCGTCACACGTCGACACATGCATTGAAGCCTATATTTGCTCGTACTGTTGCTTTTTATAATAGTTTTTTTTCCGAGAACTATATCGGAATGGAATAGTCTACCAGAGTTCGTCGTTCAAGCACACGATTTTCATCACTGTCTAGAGGAATATTTGTTAGTGAATATATGATTCCAGTTTTTTTTTCTGATGTGTTGGTTGCTTTATGCGCCTTTTCATTTGCGTCCACTTTGTAACCTTACCTATGAACGCGTTATTGTAGTGCCGCTTGCACATGCAATTGTTCGTCTGTCTATTCAACCTTTTTTTTAGTGTGTAAATTCTGGATACGCTTGTTCACGTTGATGTCGGTGATATGTATGCCCCTCCTGCTTTGGGCCGGCACTCGGCCCGCAGTATGATGAAATAAATAAATAAATAAATAAATATTCTGTCAAAACAAGCAAAAACGAGCCCTTCGGTATACACTTGTTTCCCTTATATATATATATATATATATATATATATATAGACGTTGCGAGGAAGGAAGCGCACTGGCTCTGTAGTAAAAACGGAAGCGAGAAAGCACGACGTACGAGGGAACACTTTAATAATCACATACGTTTCGGCTGGTGGGCCAGCCTTCGTCAGTGTGACCCTATATATATATATATATATATATATATATATATATATATATATATATATGTATGTATGTATGTATGTATACGAATAAAGTTTTACAGATTTATTCTTAATCGTTAAGACGAATGCGTTCTTGCATCATCAGGTTTCTGAGTGCAACATGAGAGCCAGCATTCCTAAACATCACAGAGCTGTGCGATTATGAGTGCGGCATTTATTATAAGTTTATTGTACACTTTTGTACATTTATTGTACATCTACTTGTAAAAACGACGCAGCTTTTATAATCAAATTTCTTGTACATTAGTAATCTGTTGGATAATTACAGCATCCACAATTCTTATGTTCAGTAGAAATTGCCCCATCACAGCTTTTTTATAATGTGGAGGTACTTCAATTTTTACAGCTGTTATTCTAGGTGTGACAATGACGGCTTTTAGTTCACTGGTCGTAAAAATGGGATCGCTAACTCGGGTAAGTGACCATCGTTTCTTATAAACAATTTGGAGGCAGTTCATTAGCGGTGTCACAGAGGATGCTGTTCGTAGCTGGCTAGAATAATGATCGTTTAATTGACGTATTCCATGCATTTGGTGCTGTATGAAATTAACAGTTACAGGAGAACAACGGCCACCTTAACTGCATACTTTGTGCTTAATTCCGCATTCAGTCGCGCCTTTGCGCCAACCACGTTATGCACCCATGACTAGTGCTTTTTTACATTCCACATCAAGTAATTCCGCGGTTGACTTGGCCAGTGCTTATCCAACAGTTTGATAACCTTTCACCACGACCGTTATGCGCTCAAATTGATGTTGAATTGCTGCTTGCTTTATTCGAGAAAGCTGTCAGTCCTTAGACAAGCCATGTCTTAATTCGAGGGAAACCGAGGATGCACCATTGCTGAGTTTGTACGTTTGGAAAATATTCCAACTTAGGATGCTTAAAGTTCTGCGTCATATTAAAAGGTGAGTGAGTAGGCACCAACGGCATACTTTGATGACTAAGGTAAAACCTATTTGTGTATTAGCATGTCACCAAGCACCCTGTTTGGGTTAATTTCACAGAGGGTGGGCACCTCGTAACCACACTATAAGCTTACGCAACTAAAGCGCTGACTTGTTCAAACCGTTTGTGCCTCATTCGGTGCCACTACCAGAAAAAACTCTGGAATGAGAAATTCTCCCTTAAGGAAGCCCACTGAATTCCTTCGCCATTTTAGCCATGCCCGAGGTTCTCTCAAGCCTTCCGCACGTTCACGACTTATAGAGAAGTGATGGTGACATTGTATAGTTAACGTGAAATCATCTAACACCTTGTGCCTGTAACGTGCTTTCTAGATACTTCTAATGGTCAACACAGCAGTGACGGCGCCTTTTGTGGGACTGTGCATCCTGGCTGTGTTGTTTCCTTTTGTTCACTGCAAGGTACGTACTGCAATGCACCTCTTAGTTACCATTCATTGTAAAGAAATGGACGTCATAGCAATTGTACCATGTTATACGCATACTTATTCAGTTAGTAGAAAAGTCACACTTTCATGAAAACCGCGAAGCAATAAATGCTATTGCAACAAATTGTAATGTTATAGGAACTGAGCTTGGCAGCTAACTTTTTCGAATGCCTTCAACCGCAGCTCTACAAAACGCTGGTGTTAAATAATACGGCCACTCGAGGCACACTTTTCGCACCGTCTCATCACGTTGAGTGTAGAACGTAGAAGGCTATAGGAGACGCTCAATGACGGCTGCCGTGGCAGTCAAATAATGCGTGAGCCAGGGAAAACGGCGCTCGTAAAATCGAAGGTCACCATCGTTTTTCGCGCATACCCCTCCGCCCCCTTCCACGCGTCTTTTCGCGCTCGTTAAAGACGGGCGGGGTATTTCCACTCGGCTTGAGCACTCGATGGCCGGTATAGCAAGTGGGGGGGGGGGGGGGTAAATTTCGTATGCATCTTGTAGATGGGATGGCTTGGTTCATCTCTGCTTCAGCAGCATCCATCGCTTCCGCTCGCGCGATGTTACCCACTCGCGGATTGAACATACGATGCGCTGGTGATCCTATGAATTTGTATTTTATACGCGACGGAACATCGATGGAACATCCACCACGAAACGTCCGTTCTTCCGTCGGTTCATCCATCCGTCCATGCATCTGTTCGTGCGGCCACCCCTCTGCCTGTCTCTCTGTCCATTCGTCCGTCCGTGCATGTCTCCCCCCTCTGTCTGTCTGTGCGTCCATCAGTTCGTCCGTCTATCTGTATGTCCATCGATCCGTCCGTTTATCTAGTGAACACTTCAAGTACAGCGATCTCACATCTTTTCATCATGTAGTCATTATATACAAGTGCCGCCATCCAGCGGACATTACAAGGACCGCTCTTTCGGGTATGTGGAATTGGCGGCAACATACACTATCGGAGGATGGACAGACCAACACCTTAAGGAGCTTCACTACCCAAAGAAATTGTAACTATTGATAAGACAAGATGACTTAGTCGTTCTTTTCGGTGCTCTATATTCTAACAGGCGTGTGTCAAAGTGCTAAACGGTGCGTTTTATTTCTATTTTTTTTACCCTTCACAAAAATAGCTCGAAAGTCATGCACGTTACGAGCTTTTTTCGCCAAATAAAAGCTGCGTTAGCCAGAAATGGGAGGGGAACCATATTAAGGAGGTTCAGGCTTGCTGCTCTAAATAAGCGCTCTGTGTCGAAGCATGCATTTTCACAACATATATCAGTTTCTCTATTCTGTCATTTCTTATTACCCGTTGACGATCGCAGGCAAAGCAGTGAAGAGTGCCCAGGGAACATTGTGGGCCTTACACTCATTGGCAACAATGCATGACCACCTGGAAGGTTCCCTTGAATATCAGCCACAAATTCACTCGTCAAAACCTAAACAAACAGTGTATGCGCTCTTTCACCTCACTGTTTTATCATCGCAATAGGAAGCGGAGAAGAGGGGCTGTTCTCCCCAGAATCGCCATATGTGCACTTATTACAGTTTCGATGGGGTCAGTTCTACTAAAAAATGATTAATAATTTTCTTTTATAATGACTAATATACTATAATAAACCATCTAGCATCATTAGTACAACATTTGTACTGGAGCACAGTGGGTCTAACTTGCCCTACAAGCCTCGACTTTCATGCTTCACCCCATTTAGTAGCGGTGTGGCAAATGGTTACACAAGTCCGCTTGGTTTCAGCACAGCAAGCAGCCACTGCGGCTGCGCGCAGCATACATTCGTCAATAGACTGCGCACAGCAAGAGGCCTCCCCTTACAGCCCGAGTAGCACACACTACATTTCTTAACTCCTTACCTGCGTGAAACTTAAATGAAATGGGCCTAAATCTGTGTGCAAAGCCGCACATTGTACAGGATGTAGAAGTAGTTGGCAAGACCCCGCGCCGGAACCACAAAGAGGTAAGAGGTCGCATTCACCTAAATCTAAAAAAGCGAAGACATAAGCGGATACGCAAGACGCTAAATGGTGAGCTGGCGGTGAAAGAGACAGTAGATAATTCAGGGTTTGTCTTCAGAATAGATTCGTCGCTCTAAACGAGGTGACTGGAGTCAGCGTTGGCAGAATTAACAATGATCTCGCTAGCATCGTCAAAGAGTGCAGTGGAAGCCGGAGGTACAGTCACTAGACAAGACACATGAAAACTATCTCAGGAGACCAGAATTCTCATTCAGAGACGACAAATAATGAAAGCCGTAAATGCAACCGACAAACATAAGCTGTGGAGCTTCCGGAGATAATCAAAAGGCGTAAGCTAGCAAACATAAGAAAGGATAACAAAGAGAGAATCGAACTGGCCGCAAAAAGTGGCAGAAGCCTGAACAAGGCAAACTTGTACATAGGGAAAACTTGGATGCATGCATTAAAACGCAACGAAGGCTATTTTATAACCAATATGGGTAGGTTAGTTGAGGTGGCGGAGCAGTTGTACATGGAGCTGTACACAACCTGAGCATACAAGATGATATCGTAAGCACCAATAATACCCCAGAAGGATTCCACATTCTACCAGTAACTACATGGGACCTAAAGAAAGCCCGACAACAAACACAAAAAAGCGAAGCCGCTGAAAAGTATAAAGTAACAACTGAACTTTTGAAGAACAATGGAGAAATTGTGTTTGAAAAACCACCTAATAAACGAGCAGTCTCTTGATGGGAAGGGTACCAGAATATTGCAAGAACGTCAACATCATCCTAATCAATAAGAAAAAAAAGTCAAACATCCGAAAAATTGCATGCCGATCAGTGTACCGTTCGTTCTCTCCAAACTATATTCAAAAAATTGGCAGCATATCCCCGGAGTGAATGAGAGAGAGTGGGGCGAAGCATTCGCCCGTCCATTCATTCTTGCTTCCGGCCGTCCATGCGTCCGTCTTTGTGACCGTCCATGCATTCATCCGCCCGTCCGTGCGTTCGTCTGTCCGTGCGTTCGTCCCTGCGTTCATCCATGCATCCACCCCTGCGTCTATTCATGCGTCCATCCATGCATCTGTCTGTGTGTCCGTCCATCCATTTATTCAACACACCAAGTACCCCCATCTCGCATGTTTTCATCATATATTCCCCATATAGAAGCACCGCCATCCTGCGGACATTCCACGGACTAAACGAGAGGTGGCACACGCACACTTTCTTACGGCTTGCGCTTCCGGTCTTCTTCCCATCTTTAACCACCTCGAACCATCTTTAACCACCTCACGACACTGCGGTCCAATGCTCACTAAACATTTCTAAAACCAAGGACGTTACGCCCATCGAGTATAACGTAGCAACACTTTCCTGTCAGATAGTGCTCGAAGCACATGCCAATGGCTGCTAATGGGAAATGAGAGACAGGAGAATTGGGCTTTTACTTTCTTACGACTTGCGCTTCGTATCTACTTCCCACCTTTAACCACCTCGAGTTTATTAATGGTATATACTAGTTCATTTTATTCATGGCACTGTGGCTCAACGCTCGCTAAACCTTCCTAAAACTAAGGAGATTATACCCAGCGAGTATAACGTAGCAACCCTTTCTTGTCAGATAGTGCTCAATGTACATGCCAATGGCTGCTAATGGGGATCGCAGCGTGCGCGTTAACTGAAAGCCGAATGCTCCTGTCTCTCATTCCCCCTTAGCAGCCATTGCATGTACATTGAGCACTACCTTTTATTCTTCAATAACGCACAGAAGAAATCTCTCGCCGGCACTTTCTTGGAGGTCAAAATGTTATACTTGTTACAGACTACACCGCCTACTAGGTAGGAACAGGTGCCGCTATAAGGAGCTTCACCCCTAAAACATTAGCTAGTTGAATTAGGGCGACATTACAGTCCAATGAGCCAAAAGACTAAGCGGGACTTTGTACAGGCTACTGCACAAAATATCATATTCAAACTATCAATCAGCTGACACAAAAATGCGTTAATGCAACCAGCCGCTAGACAAAGCCTTCATGAATTACAAGAAGGCGTTTTACTCAGTCGAGACATCAGCAGTGATTCAAGAACTGTAGACTGAGTGCATCAAGGATCCCTACATGAACATATTAAATGATTGATATGAGGGGTTTACCGTCGAAACCTCACCATATGATTATGACAGACGCCGTTGTCGAGAGCTCTGGAAATTTCGACAACCTGGAATTCTTTAACGTCCACCCAAATCTGAGCACATGTTCCTACAGCTCTTTCGCTTCCATCAAAAATTCAGTCGCCGCAGCTGGGATCTGATCCCGTGACTCCCGGTTCAGAAGATCAGTACCTTAACCACTAAACCAGCGCGGCTGGGCGATAAAACTTTTAGAGGAAATATACAGCCACCATATTTCTCCATAAAAAACGACAGAATGCCAAGATAAAGGTGTAAGGCAGGGAGACACGGTTTATGCAGAGCTATTCACCGCGTAGTTGCAGGAGGTTTTCATGGCCCTAGATTGGGAAGAGTTTGGGTTAAAAGGTACTAAAGAGTATCTTAGTAACCTGCGATTCACTGATGAAATTGCCTTCATAAGGGGACGAATTATAGGTCACGATTACTCGACACAGAAAGCAGAAAAATAGGCCCAAAAATTTTTACTCATAAAGCTAATGTAATCTGTAACAAGCTTGCAAGAAAATAACGCTTTGCGATAAACGGATAGACGCTGGCAGCTGAAAAGAAATCCGTATACTTAGGACAGATAGTAACCACGTAGCCGAACCACCAGAGTGAAATAACTAGACGAATAACGATGGGGTGAATCACATTCGGCAATTATTCTCATATGACGAATGGTAATCTACCACTAACCCTCAAGAAGAAGGTATATGACAGCTGCATTTTGGCGGTACTTAGCTACGGTGTAGAAACCTGGAGGCTAACAAGAGGGTTCAGCTTAAATTCAGGACGACGCAGTGCGCAATGGAAAAGAAAGTGATAGGTTTAACCTTAAGAAACAAGAACAGAGCAGAGTGGGTACTGTAAAAAAAATCAGCGTTTGGAGTATGATAGTTGGAATCTCAACGTTTATTGCAACGTTATCTAGTTAGGCAAGTCTAGCTGTACTAATCGAGGAGCTAGAGGGCGTTAATTGGTATGTTATAGGGCTCAGTGAGGTTAGGAGGACAAATGAGGCCTATACGGTGCTACAGAATGGACACGTCTTTTGCTATCGGGGCTTGGCTGAAAGAAGAGAACTGGGAGTGGGGTTCCTTATGGACAGAAACATAGCTGGGAACATAGAGAAATATTATAGCAGTAATGAAAAGGTAGTAGGTATTGTAATTAAACGGAATAAGAGATACAAGATGGAGCTGATACAGGCTTAGGCGCCTGCATCCAGCCATGATGACGAGTCAGTTGAAAGCTTCTATGAAGACGTGGAATCGGAAATGAGTAAGGTAAATACACAATATGCTCAACTGATTGGAGACTTGAATGCAAAGGTAGAAAAGAAGCAGGCTGAAGACCAGGTGCTAGGTGATTGTGGCCTTGGTACTAGAAATGCCAGACGGGAGCTATTAGTAGAATTCGCAGAACGCAATAATTGACGGATTTTGAGTACTTTCTGCCTAAAACAAGGGAACCGTAAGAGGACATGGAGGAGCTCGAATAGCGAAAATAAGAAAGAAATAGTCTTAGACTGAGTGCACACCCAGGCATCGTTCAGGATGTGGAAGTACTTGACAAGGTTCGCCTAGACTTGAAGAAGGAATGAGAAAAACTGATACGCTAGAAGCCATTCAAATAGCTAGCACTGAGCGGGAAAGTACGGGAATTCAGAGACTCGCTTAAGAACAGGTACTCGGCTCTTATCGAGGAAACCAGCGTTAGCGTTGACGGAATGAATGATAATCTGACGAGTATTATTACGGAGTGTGCAGTGAAATTTGGAGGTACTGTAGTAAGACGGGACGCTGGAAAGCTGTCCCAGTAGCCAAAGAGCCTCGTTAGGAAGCGTCAAAGAATAAAAGCATCAAATACAACAGACAAAATTGAATTGGCAGAGCTTTTGGAGCTGATTAATAAGCGTAAGTTTTCCGATGTAAGAAGGTATAACACGGACAAAGTCGAACACGCTATGAAGAACGAAGGAAGCGTGAAATCAGTGAAGAGGGAACATGGGATAAGCAAACACCATTTATGCACTAAACAAGGTAGGCAAAGTGACTACCAATTTGGATAGCATAGTTAAAATAGCAGAGAAGCTTTACAGAGATCCGTATAGTTTACAAAGTTTTACAGAGATCCTGCCCACGGCAAGTTATCTTTTCACCCAATTTTCTTCTTTGTTACATTACAATTCGGTCCAATATCTTCCCCTATACTTCCTTTGGCGTTATTGTCTGTTAGATCTCAGTAATATTGTGTAAAACACAGAAAAACGAGCCCTCAAGTATACACTTCTTTCCCTAATTCATTAACGAGGGTCTCACACTGGCAGACTAAGTGCCTTTAGGTCGTATACGAGGGACTACTGGTCGGCTGCCCACTCGTAATAAGTTCACGTGCTACGTGACGCAAAACAGGCTCAAAAGAGTGCGCCACACTCGGTGCCAAGGCTAGTGGTGGCGCTGACGGACACTTCCACGTTAAATTCACATATAAACCAAATAAAGTGGCTGGGGGGATGGCTGTCGTGGTAGCTCAAGTGGTAGAGCATCGAACGCGTCATTCGAAGGTTCCAGGTTTGAATCTTGCCCACGGCAAGTTATCTTTTCACGTACTTTTCTTCTTTGTTACATTACAATTCGGTTCAATATCTTCCCCTATACTTTCCTTGGCATTATTGTCTGTTAGATCTCAGTAATATTGTGTAAAACACGGAAAAACGAGCCCTTAAGTAAACAGTTCTTTCCTTAATATATATATATATATATATATATATATATATATATATATATATATATATATATATATATATATATATATATATATATATATATATATATATATATATATATATATATAAATGTCGCTGCCCTGCTTCAACGTGAAGACATATCTTTTTCTTCTCTATGTTGTGACCGAACGACAGGGCGCCGGCGTATCGACCCTACTAATGGTTGTGTACCAGCTGTGGCACATGGCGGGAGTTATCACATCAGGAATCAGATCACCCAGACTTCCAGTGTCTACTGACTACTGCCCTGGAAACCACAGCATGTTTTTATCTCAAAACGTTACTTTGGCTGCACCAAGCATACAGTGAGTATAGTACACGGACTACCCTCATCGATATTTGGAATGTGAGTCATGTTTAGCCGGCTGCAGGCAGTTCGCGAGTTGCATTTACATATCTATCTACCTAGTCACCTACTTCTGGGTCCTCTCGTGTCCACCGATTTATTTAGGAAATATCGAAATTATTAAGGAAGGGCAATATAATTTGACGAATACGTCTGACCCGTCAACACAGGAGTAACGTGAAAATTCTGCTACGCAGTCGTCCAAACCTCTCCTACAGATATACATGGCACACCCATTGCCTACCTGGGGCTGAGGTACGTGACTAAGGGCTACAGTTGATTCAGACTTTGTCTACCGATGAACAGAGTGAACAGACGTTGCTAATTTAAACTGAAGAACGTTAAAGAAAACATGCATTGGCAGTGTTGATTAGGTGAGGGCAAAAAATAAATACAAGAGTGTTAGCAGGTATCAAACACAAGCAGCTTGCGTGGAAAGTAAATATTCTACTATAGAGCCATGCCAGGTCTCGATACTACTTTCAAGAATGTCCCTTTGCATCTGAAGTGCTGGTGACACGTCCTTTGTGGTTGGGCTGCTGGCTATCCAATTCTGTGAACACTACATATGCATTCCTATAATGCAGCCGTTACGTTGAGTAAACGTCAATTGTATTCGTAAGTGCCATCCACTGAAGTCGGTCTACGTAGAATTATCCAGGGTTACCACGCTTGCAATTACAAGTGCAGAATAAGAGTTTACCGCTTGTGGTGCTGGTAGTACATATGTTACCGTTGCCATCATTACGCAGCTGGAAACATCGGGTTATGTAAAACATGTGTAACTATTACACATAAGTCTCTGCGTAAGATATGCTGCACATATGTTCAATGTCATTTCGTAATGCCTCATCCGATAAAAGAAACTTTACCACAGTTATCTTCTTTCAGCGTGCTTCAACCTACGTCGATTCCCATGGTACGTAGGTAGTGTGGAACTTTGCAGCAACAGTGTGGCCATTTTATGTATTAGAACTTAGCTGATTAGTAGCATTCTCCAAGTTATTCAGAATGCAAGGTGTATCGGGTGGAAAGAAACCAGAGTAATTTTCTTTGTTGCCGAATCAGCTGTATAATAATGGAAGCCAATTACTACTCCTGACTTGTTTTTTTTTCGGAATTGAGAACATACCTTGTAGAAAAATTCGTCGGGTATAACGTTCCGAAACCGCCATGCAATTATGAAAGACGATATACCATGTAGATGGAGATTGCCATAACAAAACCATAAGGGTATTAAAAGAGAAAACAGCGTCGAGTATTTTTTTTGGTCCCGTATAAGTTATCAGAACGTGCCCCCTGTGTACAGCAAGGCGTTCAAAATTAGTTTCAACTATGCGCAACTGCATTAGAAGAAGGAGATGTTTAATGAGAAGAAGCAGAAGAGGTGGCCCCAAAAAGCGGGTTTATAGAGCCTGCTACTCTTCGCGGGGGTAAGATGTAAAGAGAAAGAAAGAAAAAGAGGAGGGCATGATGTGGGCTGACTGTTGTATTGCAAAGTCAGTCACTGCCTTCACTGTCCCTTGTGGGGTAGGACACGGATAACAGTCTCTACATTATCTACACTTGCACGAGATCTGAAGACGGAAATTTAATCCTGCCTTGCTGAGTGATGTGAGAACGCCCTTTAATCTTCGTTAGGAGCGATTCACCCGTCCCAAAGCACCCAATAGCTTCTCCTTGGAAAGGGTCAGTAGTCTAGTAGATTTGTGAGGCGCTTTACTGATACTGTTTCCACCTCGTAATGAAGACACACGCAGAATGAGATGAATGTTCCCTGACGTGTCACACTCACTTCAGTTAGGGTTTTGCTACTGTCGAATCTTGGAAAGGTATTGTTGCATATCTGCAAAACCCAGCCACAGTATATGTAGTATCGTTTCCTGGTCTCTCCTTAGATGGCATGGAAGACGAAAAGTACGACCAGAGTCAAGCGTAAAAATTTGCTCGTGGCGACTATCAGGATCATTTTATAATTGTGTCCTAGTTGTTTTCATAGCTTTAAAGAGTCATGCGTTGAGTTGAAGACATATCGGGAAAAGTGATTTGATATGTCTCCTTCGCTAGTGCGTGCCATCTTCGCTTCTGCGTCAGCGTGTTCATTTTTGGCTATGCAACAGTGACTGAGAATGTATTGTAACGCAAGAGATGACTGGATTGAGATGCTTCGTTTAACATATTCATTATATTGCACATGCGGTTCTTGCTTCATAAAGTTTATGATTGACTGTAGTTGTGGCTTGACGTCGCAAAATAGTGTCCATCACTGCACTAGGCTGCAACATATAGTAGATAGCCTATCGGACACTGGTCAGCTCCGCGGCAGTAGACGATGCCCGGTGTGCTTTATTGAAAGCTTTCATAATTACCATGTGAAGTACAGTGAAAGCTGCTGCTAAGGAGGTCTGTGTGGCAAAGCCTTCAGCAAAATATGCACCGTATATACGTACATACTGGCAATATAGGACAAAGCAAAATACTGAGGTCCAGCAGTTGGTGTTTTTGACTTGAAGTTTTGAAAGGATCATAATTCACATGACCGGCTTAGGTATCATCCACAGAGAGGTATTTGAGATGTCAAACGTGGTACATAGTTCGAAGGCAGCAAATCTCGGTGCGACATAACAGCTTCTGAGTATGCAGCATTAGGTCGTGTGTTAATAAAGTCTCCCAGTGGATGGTCTCCATGCTTCGTCAACAACCACAGGTATACTCGCAGTGGCCGTGTTGAAGATAAACAATATCTAGACAACCACGTGCCTCTGAGTTATATTCCCCTCATGATTTACATCGAGGTACTCCTGGGTAAGTTTTAGCGCCCTAGCTTGACCCCCCCCCCCCCGCCAGTGGAGGTTCATCAGATGTGCAAACACGGGAGAAAGCAGAAACACTGAAGCGGAAGTATCTAACAAAAAAGTGTCTGGTATAGCTGTACTCCAGCGATACCAGGCAGTATAACAGACAGATGAGATGATTTCGATCGTGCCCATGATTTTTGACATATATGGCGAAAGTGTGACTGTACAATCCAGGATTGTGGTTGTCATATTTTACTTTAAGCTCATGTTTTTTTCATAATACCTATAGTTAGGGTATCGGACAGGCTGGCACTGGTTTGTGGCATCGTTCTAGATATTGCTCTGGACCTTCCAAATATGTATAAATACGCAGGAGTTAAGGCAATTTTTTTGTATATTTTACCTTAAAAGATGCACCGTGCTGGGCGCCAGAATTTCATCACTTCGACTGATATGTCGCGCAACCAAAATGTAATACGAACACTAAAGAGTCACGAATTCTCCTAAATTACGTTTGCTTCTGATGAAATGACGCAGCTGTTATCGCAGGTGTCCTGTCACCTGGAGAGGTTAAAAATTTTGACCAGGTGTGGCAATGTATGATTGCTGTCTCTTCATAGGAAGTGGGGGCGGGGTCTGCTTTTATCAAAGAACACTGAACTCTACGTCGTTGCATAGAAAGCATGTTCTATTTTGTCGTTACAGGGTACGCCAGTGCTAAAGATATTTCAATTTTTGCAGCTTGTCAAATCAAAGTGGCGCTTATGCATAATTGTTGTGCGTTCTTAGATAATAAGAATTTTACAGTACTACTTAAATGACGGTAAATTTTTACGATTCGATTACATCTTCATAAAGAGACAAACAGAAGCTGCATTACTTTTACATTTGAAAGTTTTACTAAAAATACAAAATGTTCTCTGCCGACAGCGCAACTGAGTGTGACGCTCGCAAAAGAATAAGAATGTGACACAGATGTGACGCTCGTTAAGGAGGCAAGGACAAGATAAAAAGACAAGAATGTGACGCTCACAAGAACTGGTGTCTTGTGGGCACAATACATGGCTTCTCTGATGCACCAGCTGTGCGAAATTGTAAAGCTCAGATGGCTGAAAAAGTAATTAGGTTGCTATTTTTTCAATCTTTTTGCAGAACACAGGAACCTTTCTTCATGTTTCGCCTGTCGTTCTTCTGGAGCAGCTTCTTTGCTTTCATCGGAACTATTGTGCTCGCAGTAATGATTAGTGCTGTCACAGGTGAGAATAATTGTTCGCGTATTGCATATTGTGGACCCAAATGTACGAGATGTTATTGTATCTTTTCACACGACTCTCAAGACTACTTTTGAACGGACAGCACACATAAGAAACGGCTTGAGGGAGTGCCGAGGAGAAACAATAGAATCCTTGCACGTTTATAAAAATCAGTGTAACTGCGAATGTGCCATTAATTTCCAATAATTGATATTTTCCGGTGAATATTAATTACCGAAACCCTAACTTCTAGGGTATTTATCAGCGCTTTTGTATTTGTTCCTGTCGTTGGCAAAGATTCGAATGCACGCTAAAAACAACGCTAACTGCACCAACTACGTCCTCGATACAAATATATCTCTATTTGCAGAACACGTACTAATGTGGTAGTTCTATTTTAGTTCTTTGTAAACTGCCCGCTAAAACCACAAATCATGCTTTCATACGTCTTGAGCATAGTTCGTCACAATGCATGTCATATACGCACTTACTTCTTCAGGCTTTCTTGTTTGTGATGCCATTTTTATCGGCCGTGCTATGAGGGCAGTGTTTTGTGCTCCACAACCTCAAATACTGATCCTTTTTGTTGGACCGCCAATCTTGCCGACACTGTCAATATGGATATTGATGACAGTATAGCATAATGCCACGAAAGTGTTAGCGGCCAAGCAACACCCAGACACCTCATATGTTCTCGTCTCGCGATGTGTACTCTCACTAATAAGGGGAACGTTTGGCTGGGTAAACGTATGCGGAGAATTGTCAGGTACGTCGAGTCTGTGGTTGGTAACATTAATTTAAATCTAGGCATACATTTTGAGTACCTGCCTCTTCCACATCAGTTCGTCGGCATCTTGCTATGTAACAATAAAATCTGTTCATATGCTCAGAGTTCCTTTCCTCTAACGTTGT